GATTTTAAATCGTATGGATTCCTCCTTCTCTCTGTATGTGCATTTTACATATACATATATATATGTATAAATGTGTACCGTCTCTCTCGGAGGGAGCCCGCGCCTTCACCGCATCCAGGTTTTACGGCCCATATGATCGAGGTTTGGAGAAGGAAACCGTGGACAACAGCGACATCCATGCAGCCCGATCTGTCACTCCCCATCTTCCTCACGCCAATCTCACCGGACTCATCGCAGCGCAAGGCGCCACCCGAGTCGCGGAATTGAGATCTCTAATGGAAGCCATGGGGTTCCCCTTCCTGAGCCTATCACCATTTGGTATTTTGAGCTTATCCGAGCTGGACGGCCTCGAGGTGGACGAGGCAATGCTGCATGGGCGACGTGCGTGGGCAGAGAAGTTCATTCAGCACTGGGATACTCCGACCAACCGGACCGTGTGCGACCAGCTTTTCGACTGCATCAACATTGTCTGGGAGAGGTGCCTCCTCGAGCTGGAGGACGTCCAGGGGAAGAGGAAAATCATTGAGGGGCTGGCAAAAGAAAACGACCACTGGTGGGAACTATCATGAGCTTCCGACCCCACGGCGCCGACGCATCCCCCATGTTTGCCACCCAACCTAGCAACGCATTCAAGCAGGACCTGTCGACACACGTCAACCTGACCTCATCGGGGACTCGAGGGCCCTCCACAGACAGCTTAGCAGCGACGCGGGAACAATCACACATACCCTCAGCCAGCTCACCCACATCTCGATCACCTGGACCCCGGAACTGCCCAGCCAGGCAATCAAGGTTGTTGGTTCTTTGAGAGAGCCTCGGGCGGTCGGCAAGGGCCCACCAACCCTGACACTTCTGCTTTCAATCGACGTCTACCCCGGATGTTCCGCAGCACAGCGCATCACAGATCTACGGCAGCACCCCGTTTTCGGCCTAAGGTGGAAGGTGCTGGTAACCGAGACCGTCTTCCTCACCCCTCCTATGTTCATGATCGTGCCCGACAAGACTACAACGCTGCACGTGCGCAAGGGGCTGGTGTTGATCACGCCGGGCCAGGCTGTCGTGCATCAGTCCCCGCGTCTCTGGACCTGGAGCGATGCCATCTTCCAGGACCACACTCACCAGTGCATCTGGATCGACACTCCGCACGAGTGCCGCACAGTGGTTTACACGACATGTCTGCACGCTCGACGACATGAACGACCTGGCAGAGCCAGAGGACGACGACGGACACAATGACAAGGCCATCGACGCCGAGAGCGGGAAAAACGAGAGCGGCGCCGACCCAGAGACGCCACCGCACCCTAGTGGACGGGCCGGATCTCCACACCCAGGGAAAGATTTCCAGCGCCGGGTCTCATTTGAGACTACTCGCACACGACGCCCCGCATCCCATCTTTCGCGTGCGTCACAAGTTCTCACGTTGAGACCTCTAGAATGCTACCGTGCACGCGCCGCCCCCAGGCGTGAGCTGCAAACGCAATGCGCCCGCCTGGCAGGAACGCCAGGCCTTGGCGTGGCGAATCTGCAACTACTTCCTCCCCTGGTCCCTTCGCTGGTCTGCGGCGCAGTTCTCAACGCCTTATGGGACAGGTGGTGCACGCGCAGAAGATGCCAACAGAGGCATTCAGCACACAATCGCCGCGCATTGGGGCGCGGCGGGGCCGCCGAGGCTTCCATTGAACACTATTGCAGATGCCCGGTGACGAAGCATGCGTTTGAACGAAGGCTGAATCTTAACCATTCCGCGTGCGCCAATTTTCTTTTTTCGTGCTGCGCAACGGGAACATCCGCACACTCGAGGAGCTCGCCCCCATCGCATGTTCATTTACGCCATCTACAACGCCACCAACCACTACAGACACAACGCGGTCAGCCAGGACACCGACGTCCATGATGCATTCGCGCAGTGGATGAAAAGGGGAGGGGGGGGAAACGCCATGGCAGTGCAACGCGAACGCTCAACAACAGATGGAACCCTGAACGACAAGAGAAGCCGACCACACCAATCTCGACGCACCTGTGATAGCGGCGACCGACGCTAGCTGCTAGCTCCCAGTCCAACTCCAGCCCCAGTTCCGACTCCAGCACCGATTCCGGCACAGGGGGGCCACCACGACCATGAACAGCCACCACGACCACGACCAGAAACAGTCACCACGACCACGCGCAGCCGCCGCTGCCAGACACAGCCGCCACGACCGCGAACAGGCACCTCGACCAGAAACAGTCACCACGACCACCACCAGAAACAGCCACCACGACAGCGCACAGCCACCACGACCAAAAACAACCACGACGACCACGAAGAGCTACCGAGACCAGAAACAGCCACCACGACCACGACCAGAAACAGCCACAGCGACCACCAACAGCCACCACGACCAGAAACTGCCCCCGCTAATCCGACATTCCAAACTAACGGAAGCAAGATTTCTTCAAAAGAGAAGTAGGCGGCTCACTGACAACCACGCCCTGCCGAAGGATGTCGTTTTGTGCGTTCGGAAGATACCGCGCCTTACGTTCTTCTTCTACGACATTGGTCATGTTCCTCCTCTTCTCGTTCTTATTTCCTCCTCTGGGCTCTTCTTTTTCCTTATTTGTTTCAGTCCTCTGCCCCTCCTCTCCTCGTCCTCTGCCTCTTCTTTTTCAGTAGCTTTTTCTCATTTATTTCCCGCGTTCTCTTTTTCTCCTCTTCCTTCCCTCTTCGTCCTCTTCTTCTTCTTCTTCAGCTTCCACGTCGCCTTCCCCGCGCCCCGCTTCTTCCCCCTATCCCCTCCCCCCCCCTCCTGTAGCTGCTGTTCCCCTCCCCATTCTTGGGCTCGAATCCCGCCGAGTCGTTATTGCGCATGTCCGCGGTAACGGCCCGCGCGGAATTGGCGGTTGGTCGCGGGGAACCTGCGGCGACAGGGGTCGTCTTGGCCGGTTTCCATGGCAGACGCCAACCCATCGCAAGTCATCCAAAACAGCATCGCGCATCGAGCGCGGATCAGAGTTGAAGCGAGGAGGCTCGCGCCGCCGTTTCAAGTGGAGCCTCGTCCTCAGAAACGCGGTGGCGATCCAGTGAATTCCTTGCGCACGCAGCAAATAATTTGCGACGGCGTGAAGGATGCGCGCGACCGGGTAGAAACAAACAGCAAGTGGCGCACTCGTGGAAGCAAAGCCCGCGGCGGCGGGGGGGAACGGCACGGCTGTTCAGGACTTCCTCGAGGAGAAGCTCCAGACAGATCCCGGCGCGGCGCTCAATAGCGACGCCAACAGGATGACGGCCCGTCGCGCAGCCACCTGAATTTCTGCCTCCGCAACATCTTGGACGAGAAAAATGGGCGCGCGTGCCAGGTAACCCGCGGCGGCGGGGCAGAGCGCGGCAAGTGCGAGCGCAGGGCCGCTGCAGTCTTGGGCGATGCTACGCGGTGGAGAAAGACCACGAACGCGATGTCGAGTGGGCGCGGCAGTGCGCGAACGGCTTGGGGTGAGGGATTCCATCTTGGAAGATGGGCGAGGAGGGGCCCGCGGCAGCTCCAACCATCAGCGCGGCGCTCAACAAGAGGAACGAAGCTGCGATGAAAACAAGCATTCTTGAGATCATGTCAACCCTGGCGCGCTCGTGCACGCCAGATTCCAATGGCTGCATGCGTTTCGGACCAGCGAGGGACAAGCGGATCGATTCATAGGGTTCGGAAGCCGGCCACCCTGATTTTCTCGATATGTTCGAGGTGGTGCGCGATGCAGGGGGGCGCGGCAGCGTTCGCGCGACAGACATGTTTGCGTTCGCGAATGCGTTCGCGAACCCGAAGGTGCGGAACATGCGTGCGGAAGCCTATGGCGCGATTGCGCAGTGCCCAATGGAGCCCCCGAGAAAAAAACATCAACGCCCCACGAAGAGAGCCTGGAAGCAAGACGCCAGGGGGCGGCGTCGGCCCCCCCCCCCCCCCCCCACGCTGCGCGCAGATTGAACAAGGAGTCGGCATACCAGGTTTTCTTGCGGCAAATGTACAATGCAACGCTGGAAGTGGGGCAAGTAGCAGCCGCGGCAGCGGTCGGGCTGGCGACCGAGAAGGCGAAGACCGAGTGGACTGCCGAGGTGGATGCCGCGACAATGGGAAAACTCAGAAGAGCCGCGCAATCTAATTGCCGCCGGGCCCCCAGACGCGCCATCGCAGCGAGAAGCGCGGTGATGGAGTGCTGCGTTGGGGCGGGGCGGGGCGGGGGGGGGGCCCAGGAATGTGTCTCTGGTTGTCCGCCCTTTGCCCCCCCCTTTTTTTCCGCCGCTTCTCTTTCTTCGCCCTGTCCTGCGCGCCTCCGCCCCTGGAGGGGAAACTGGCGGATTTTCGCAGCGGCGAAAATCCATGCCGACGGCAAGTCCGCCGAGGAGCGACGGGGAGCTCTTCTTGGAGACTGCGGTTGTTTCATCGCGACGACGTTGCTGGAACTGCCTGCGTTGGGCAGGAACGGGTTGAAGAGGGGGGAGATGCCCTAGTTCCAAAGGAACACCGACCCATGATGATCGTCGGGAAGTCGTTGGGCCACCCAGCGCTCAAGGGGGGCAGTTCTGGTGGGCGCGCGAAATCGACTACGCGCAGGAGTGGCCCCTCGCCGGAGTGACCTTTGGTGCTGGCCCAAAGGCTTCTCGCGGAATGAGCTTGACCTCGTGTCGGCGCCCGCATCGCGCTATTGTGCTCGCATCTGAGCGCGCCAGGTTTGGGCCCGCCGCTTGCAATCGACAGCAACGCATGCGCGTCGAACCCTACAGTTTGCACTGTCTACCC